AGGACCAAGTCTTCAATAACTTGCAACAGATGAGGCCACATGGTAGCAGCCATGCAGATTGTGCCATGAGGAGGATGTGCTGTAGGCATGGGAGAAGGTCACCAGTGATATCCTGTCACGCACGAGCGATGGGAGAATCGTCAGAAAGTGCAGGGCCACAAGCACACTCCGGTGCAGCTCTTGGACCAGTGCTTGGCTCCTTGAACAGGTGCGATTGCAGAGCAGGTTGCAGCCATGGGTCGGGCTGCACACTGGATGGTGGCCAAACATGACAACGGCCAGGCTGACGTGAGTTGGTGCATTGACCTATACATGCTGTTCGACCTGGACGTGGGCACAGAGGACCTCATTGATAACGAGTGGGAGATCCTGCCTGTACTCAATGATGGGGCAGGGGTTGCTGCATGGAGATTGGACATGCCGGCACTGTACTCATTCTTGTAGGTGTTCCTGGCAGTGGCAGGGTTGCTGGATGGAGATTGGACATGCCGGCATTGTACTCATTCTTGTAGGTGTTCCTGGAAGTGGCAGGGAAGACTCTGGATGGCGAAGTAGGCTAGTTCGTGCAGGACGTCCTGGAGTCATCTCTGGTTACGGCCGGGATACTCAGCTACCAGCTCTCCGTTGTGTGGCCGTGGACGCCTGGAAGCAGTGCTGAACAAATTTCACCTGGAATGCTATACATGTATAGCATTGTATGCTGTACAGCTCTAACCTGGAAGAAGTGCCAGGGTATAGCCAGGAGGACATCCAGGACTGGCCTTCAACATGCACCCACTGCAGAGCTGGGGTCGTGCTAGGTCGCGCTATGGTCCCAGTGCAGAGCTCTGCATCGCCTATCTGTGTGCGCCGAGGTCACATTGACTCCAAACGCCATGGGCTGCCTGCAATAGTAGGAACTTCATTTTGGTGAAACACTGAGTTACTTGGAAACTGAGACATCAGGATGCCTTTGATCAGGGGGGCTGTCCCCCAGACAGAAAACACCCCAATCGCAGGCATCCCAATTGGGACCTTGCAAGGTCCCATTCAAAGCAACTCAGCATCCCACCAATGTGATATCATCAGATTAGTGAGACGCTGAGTTGAATTGATTGAGGGACACCGGGACACCTGTCATTGGATGGAATTAATTGCAGGGATGCTGGGCTGGTTGGAAAGTGGGACGTTGGGCTCCACTGCAAATGGCAACAAGACATTGTTGCCCATCGACAGACAGCCAAGACAGCAGAACTTGTGCAAGCCACCAATAAAAAGCACTGCGCAGAATCGCTGCATTTGTGAGCATCTTTTCCTGCAAGTGCCTAACTACTTTTGTCAGATCAGATGCGGCCCCTGCTGCTGAACAGCCTCTGAAAATTCCATGAAAATTGTGGTCAAGCTCGTCCACCTCGCCACCACCTCGTCGATCAATAGCACCACCACGTGCTTGCCAACGGTGAAGATGCAGCCCGGGGGTGAGGTGGGGGGAGATGAGAGCATAGGATAGTTCAATGTTCAGGGCAACGATCAAGACAAATATGTGCACTCTGTAAGATGAACAAGTAGACAAATACTTGAGTGCAAGTGTAGTGGTGGACGACGCTGCTGGTGCATTCCAGTACCGCGTGCACCAGCGCAAGCTGTGGTGTCCTGGCATTGGCAGAGAACAAGACAGAGCAATTTAGGTTGTGGAATACCGAAATGCAATGTTGCCGATTGCTGAAGATGCGTCGGGTGGCGTATGGACAAACAAAATCATGGCCTACAGCATCATTCAATAGGAGATTCTCTCGCGGCCACTTGTGCTCCTTCTCGCTGCCTCCTCCGCCTCTCTCCCCACCATCCTTCGCCACACCATGGCCACCAAGTTAAAGATCTTGCGCTCCACAAGAACACTCCTTCCCTTCCTTGGCCTTGGGCGCCACAGGGCAGGCCCATGATGGACATTGGAAGTGTCCTGTACAGTGCCGGCACTGTACCAACGGAGTTCTTGTTCACTGTCATTCGGATATCGAGAGCAAAAAACGGGACACCTTGCAATCATCATCCGCGTCCACGCTCAAGCATCGGCTGCCACCGCCAGGCCAGAGACAACAACGGCTCCATTCGACTTGTGGCTTAAAATCGGCCACACCGAAGCCACCTTCCCACCTCGTTCCTCCTTCCGCATCACGTCGAGCCGCCGTGGCTGAGTCCACCACCACCGTCTCTCCGTATCGCGCCCCACAGGCTCCGCCAATGCACATCCAACACTGCCGGGCCTGAGACCGAGTTGCAGCGATCCATTTGTGCGCCACGTCCCCCGTGCGCTTATGGGTGGATTGGATTCGGGCACGGTGGCCGGACCGTTGCGACTGTTAGCCGTAGGTGGGGGTGCCAGCGGGGCACTGGGCGCCTGTTCCCACTGGCGACAGGTACACCGGCGTGATGGTAGCAAATATCAGTACTGCGCTAATCTACGTGCCGCCCGCGCGAGGGCAAGATGGGCTGGTACGAGGACGATTGCCGAGGTGGAGTTTCCGTCAGCATTGCCGCGATGGTACAGAACAAATGAGAGACAGCCAATGGGAACCTTTGTCTTCCCCGCATAACGTATCTTGAACTCGCGTGTTTGGAACCCGGGCCCGTATGTTTATGCCGTCGAATCCGTGCGGGCCCTGCGCTGTCAAGCAGCCCTTCTGAGTTGGTCCTGTCACATTTTGTGGGAACGGAAATGGGAACGCACCCCACCCCCGTTCCCGGGACGGACCCATCCCGAGCCCACTCACCCCGTTCTTAATTAGGTTATAACCCCGCTCATGGTAGTTTTCTGCGAACAACTTGCTTGCATACCTGTTTCGTTGTCGGTTCCACTGCGTGCCTGGCAGTTTTCTGGCAATAGGTTTCCTTCATTTCGGTTCCGTTGTCAACACTTCCTACTTCCTGACAGGACGTATTGAAAAATTGAAACATGTCAACAAGTTTGTTGAACGCAGTGAGAAGCAAGAATAGAACTATTTCTGGTTTGGTCAGCATCGTTTGATCCACGTGAAATTTGCTTGCGGTGAGAAAAGCCGACGCTGGGCAATGCGCGGCATTGCGGTCGAGGATGGACTCCATTCGTCTCAGGTGTGGATGGCGACTGCTTCACAGAATGTGGCTAAGCTGCATGATGCGGTTCAGCCATAATGAAATGTGTCCATATCAATAGAATTTCGATGAATCTAACGTACTTCAACAGCACACTTTAAAATACGCTTCGTTGGATCACTGAGAATTTTCGGTCATTAAGGACTGAAGCCAGAGCTGAATTATAGCCGCTACCAGCATCAGCATGGGAAGGTGAGAATAGCCTGACATGGGCTGCACAAACCGCTGCGCTCTTGCCACCAGTTCCCGGAGCTTCAACGAGAGATTCTAGTCTGGAGTTTCCTTCCAGTGGCCGCTGACAGGCCATATGTGGATGGACGTATCACACGGTGATGGACCCATGACCACAATAAGGAACTACCCAGTAGTATAGAAGTATGGCAGGTGCTATGAAAGGACAATCTAGCTCTCTGCCCCTGTCTATCTGCATGCGACCTATGGCAACTGAGATGCCTTGGCGTCAAAACAAGTGTCTAGTGCATTGGGTCTACCGATTCAACAGAGGGTTTTGCACCGATGTTGATACGGCCTGTTGACAACCTTGCCGTGTTCCGGCGCTCTTCATAGTGGGCAACCGACACGCCGGGCCGCGGCTCAAACGGGGCCGCATCAAAACAGCCACTGAATCCTCGCTCGATGCTCCATACTCGGTTTGTATCCAACTACTAAGAGCATCTTTATCGGTGGGTGCTATTGTTCCGGCGGAGCTATTCAGGAACGGTTCTCATTGGCTGCCGTGCCACCTTACTAAGGTGGCATGTGCCAAATAGCGCCGGGGCTATTGGGGAGCAATAGCACCGGGCGTGCATCCGTAACGGTGGATGCCTTGGGGAGCAATAGCACCCCGTGGGCATCCGTAACGGGGGGTGCTATTTGCATGGTTCGGCTGTCCCAAGGCCCCTCCGCTGTACTAAGGCCCCTCCGCGTTGTTCCAAGCAGCCGCCGCCAAGTGCTGCGCGAATAGCACTGGTGCTATTCTGGGGAGCTATTCGGTCTCGAGCGGAGCTATTCTGGCCCCGAATAGCTCCGCTGGGCGCCGAATAGCTCCGGGGGAGCTATTGGGGAGTTATTGCTCCCCAACCGTTAATGATGGTTTTTTGACTTGCGGAGCTATTCGGATAGCCGAATAGCTCCGCCGGAACAATAGCGCCGACCGATAAAGATGCTCTAACGACCATGTCAATGGCACCTGTGGGGAAGGCGGGGGTACCTGCGCAGCATCCAAACTGACCCACGCGCCCCACTCTGCACCCCACCAGCGTTCACACCGCGCGAATGACGGTCCCAGGCCTGCCCCTTTTCAAGCCCCAGCCACCCAAAGGAGGGCGTCCAAGCGCGAGCGTTCAAGGACTCGAGTGCTCGCCCGCCTTGGGTGGCGCCCTCCGTTCGGCCGACAGGCGACGCTCATCAAGCCCTTGGCCAAGCGCCTGCGGCGCTTACGCAGCCATGGGATCAGGCCAAGCATCACCGCCGCCGGCGCTGAACGAACTTGGCCAGCCGATCGGGAGGGCCGTCCCTGGATGGCATCCGCCGGCCTTTCCGGCGCACGAGGCGCTGCATGGGCGCCACTGCAGGCTGGAGCCGCTGCGACCGGAGGCGCACTGCACTGGGTTGTGGGAAAGCATGCGGCATGACAGGGAGGGGAGGGCCTGGACATATTTGCCTTGGGGCCCTTTCTCGAACGAGGACGAGTTTGGACTGTGGTTGCGCCAGACGATGACGTTCCAAGGGTGGCTGCAGTATGCCGTTTTTCCCACAAGTCAGAGCGCTCCTGCGGTGTGGCCAATTACCTGAACATCGAGCCTGAGAACGGAAGGATCGAGATTGGCGGCCTGCTGTTTGGCGATGGGCTCAGGCGCACCACGGCGGCCACGGAGGCGCTTTACCTGATGGTTCGACGAGCATTCGAGCTGGGCTACAGGCGGTGCGAGTGGAAGTGCGACTCTCTGAATGCGCCGTCCGTCGCGGCGGCCCAGCGCCTGGGATTCAGGCCCGAGGGCGTGCTGCGCAGCGCGGTCGTGTACAAGGGTCGCAACCGCGACACGGCGTACTTTTCTATCCTCGAGGACGAGTGGCCGGGGGTGCGGGGGGCCGTGGAGGCGTGGCTGGACTCGAGCAACTTCGACGACGGCGGACGCCAGAGGGCGACGCTGGCGGAGTTGCGAGCGACACGGGCGCCAGCGGTCGCCCGAGCGGTCGAGTGAGGGCTTACGTGTGTGTGATGCCGAGCAGGTGTTGTGCCATTGCCAAAGTCGCGTGACTGATGCGCAAGGTTCGGGGGGGGGACTGTGGGACCAGGCATGGCCACGTGCTCGGAGACGTGGCTAAGGGAAGGAGTTACAGAGAGATCACTGACAGGCGTGTCCCTTTACACTCGAACAACCACCCCTCTGTCATGGACCATTGTCGTGTCATTGTCGTGTCAGCGGGTTTGATGCAAGCAGGTACGACTTCTGTATGTGTGCGTGCCCGTTGTGGTCCACAAGGTGCAAAGGCAAGGCAATGTGGATCAGGCAAGTTCATGGAGGAGCTTGGCCGGGGAGTGGATGCTGCAGGCTTGTGAAATATGGATGCGGGTTAAAATAACAATACAGTAAAAGTGCGCATTTTGTGACAACATCATTGAAATGCAAATTCAATCAATCAGCACACATATCCAATCCATCCATGGCATCCTCACCTACTATCTCTACAACAGCAACTATGTAATCAGGCTTCGTATTTACGTTCACGTTTTTACGTGCAAAAACGTGTATTTGCTAAAGGAGCGGTCTTGACAGCTATTTTTACATTTTGTGGCCAGTTTGGACACCCAGGTCACACGATGAAAGCCACGTACAGTGAGCAATCATCTTTTATCTTCCGCACCCACAACACAGTGTTCACCTCGTTGTCGGCAAGGGGAACGATGGCGTGTAACAAAAGCTCGTTTTGTATGGCAGTATGGCAGCTGGCTGCCATTGCCCGGACTCCATACGTCCGTATATACTGCCCTTATGTACACGAGGGTGCGTTTACGTTGTATTTGCATATCTTTACACATTTTTATGAGTAAAAATGTAAAAACTATTTTTGCGTGTAGAAACGTAAATATGAATTGTGTTTATGGGATAAATACCAAGCCTTCATGTCATTAAACAAGTTCTCATCCTCGCGCCACTCAAGAACGTCAGGGTGCCTATTGCTCTCACAGCTTCATTGATGTTACCCCAATGAAATGCAAATCAAATTAGCCAGCATCCACGTCGCTTGGCAAACGCCTTGCATCAATAGATGCCGCTACCTACAATCGCAATTTGATTGTGCCGTCCCTGCTCCCTTCTCGGGTCCCAAAGTACTTACGCTTGGACGCATGCGGTTGGGTGGAAGGAACTTGCGCAAGGGCAGACCTTGGCCCGTCATGCGCGCATGGGGTGGGCGTTGGCGTGGGGAGTGCGTACCCACGCCTTCCCCGCAGGTGCCGATGACATTGGCTTAGCAGTTGGGTACAAGCCGAATATGTGGCGCCGTCAAAAAATGCTGCACAGGGAGGGCGAGCTTCCATTCGCACTAGGGAAAAAAGGACCAAATAACACTTTTTGCGAACACATATATGTGCATTTCGTCAGTGTTCTGCATGCTAAGAACACGAAAATAACCCAAACCCGTAAAATTTGTAAACGTTTGAACACGTGTTATTTGGCCATTTTTTTCCTAGTGTCGGCTGTCTCTCACACGTTGTGCACCATCGCGGCATTGACAACAGAAACGCCACCTCGGACATCGTCAATCGTGCTCGAAGCAGCCCTCCCACAGATTTGAATCGAGCATTCCTTGACAGTGACAATCGCCCAGCCAGAATCCTATCATGGTCCTTGATAGTATCAAGTCGTTACCACACAGTGAACTGGCATTCCGATGGGTCTCGGATTTCATGCCCCTGGGGCTTGCCTGTGCTGGACACAGAGTGGCGGACCCTCTGCCCGCGATGCGGTGAGATGGCTGCGGCGCCCAGGTCTGATGTCCAATTTGTTACATGAACTAAAGCAGCGCAACCAAAGCCCGGGAGCAACGAGGCTATATCGGGCACAGGTCTGATGTCGCTCGACATGGTGCGGAAGCAGAGATGAGACGGCGAGATGGCCGCAGCGCGGATGACTTTGTGACACGAGTCGGTTTGATTCGTTGCTTGTGAGTGCCGGCGGGTAGATGCGCAAGCGGTTGATGCCCCCGTGACGTCCCACAGTGCTTGGCCTTGATGGCTCTTGCGCCTTCATGAAGACGACTGATCAGTCGTGCGCACGTCCGATCTTGCCTCTGTGGACATGCGATGGAGAAAAGCGGTGCAGAGATAGGTGATCACCTATCCACCTATGATCACCGCTCATGAGCGCGACAGCATGATGGGCCTGATTAAGCGCACGAGTCGATGGGGAGAACGCCTTGTTGCCGCTTGCAAGGCTGCTGCTGAACGCCTTGGCGCGTGGGCGCGGGCGCGCGTGTGTGCATTTGTCCCATCCATGGATGGGATCCGTTGGCCAACGGACTTCACGGGAAGAGCGGTCGGCATCTTCACAGCAACAAATCTGGTAAGGCTTGGAGTTTCCGCGTTCTCCTGCCGCGCGGTGCCTTTGGCTTTCCATGATTGTCATCCACGGTGATCCACGTGCACACCATCGTCGTCTGTCAGCCCAATACTCTTATCACCCCTGCACCAACAGCGCCATCTGAAGGTAAGCAGCCGCCAACTGGCGCCATGGCCCGCCTCTTGTTTGTACAGAAAAGGTGCGTCGAGCACGTTGCGGCCCCCAATGCGACACATCAGGTGGCCTTAAACCGCTGGGGCCTGGTGATATTCCTGCGGTATTTGCATTTGGCTGCTCCCCACCACAGTTGCGGTGCTCTGGCTTGCCCTCTAAATAGTTGCCTGCCCTGAGGCGTCGAAATTTCTGTTGGTGCATGTGGACATCTCGTCGTTCCGTTGTCGCTGCTGGTTTTGCAGCTGGTGCTGGGAGCACTGCGATAACGAAAGGGTGGATGAATTTTCTGTTTATTGCTGCCTTAGAAGACAGTTCGGTGCCCTTGCGCCATGTGGTGACAAAGCACATTTAAACATCCAAGAAGCAATGGGAGATTTACACCAAAAGGGGAGCAAACTTTACGATGCAAAGGCGCGCACGCCTTCTGTTGAGCAATAAACTGCCCATAAGGTCGCTGCGCTCGCAAACGGCAAACCGGTGTCCATGGTTTGTTCATTGAAATCCACCGCACAGGGTAAGCGCATCCGAAAACAATCAATTGTTTTACTTGCGAGAAGTGTTAGTCCATTATAACTGATTGAGGGAATAGTTGTAGCCAGTTGGCGAGCGGGGACAGAGGATACCTTGTGTGTTGGTGCCTGAAGCATTCCCCTCTTCCAGGACCGAGGGTAGTATTCGTGCCAAAATATTTTTAGATAATAGGACAGCAGATGCTTGAGTGCCTTCCGCTTCTCCCTCTGGCCAGAGTTGCCATTCTCATCCGGCGGCTTATGTCAAGGAATTAAATTCAAGCACGTTTAGTACTGGTAGAACAGAATTCGGAATACTACTTGTACACCGTCGGTGCAACACCGACGTTGGACCAAACCCGCAATTAAACTATCTTCTGTGTGCCCCTTTTACGTCGCATCAGAAAAGAGTCCAAGATACACTAATATATATGCCACACATCGCCATCTTACCGTGTGGCGTCTGAATTACCGCCGAAATTTTGCGGCGTGTGGCCCCAAATTGACTTGCTTCGTCTGCGCACCAAATTCATCTGGAAGGCTCAGTAACTCGGGCTGGGCACACGCTTGTCTGGCAAACGCCAAGGCACTCATACCTTCAAGGGAATCAAGGCGATTCTGGGGATGTTTTGTGGATCTACTTCCGTGCCACCCGGCGGTGCTCTTCCCTCGATGGAATGATATCATTTGCGGCGACGTTGGCATGGGACCTTTCAACGCCAGCCCTTGTGCTGGTGCCGCAAACCTTCCATCTATTGGGTGGGAATATGTCAGCACTATCTGCCAGGGGGCTGACATCCCATAGCCGACGGCGCCATCATGTGCTGCAGGTGCGGTAGGTGGCAGCACCTATATTGAGAATCCGGGGAACCACTGCATTGGTTGCGGAGACGGTAGCATGCGCTTTCCTGCTTCCAAAGGTGGATGCCACAACGGCCACTGGGAACTGGAGATCCGATTGAAACTGATCCAGGATCCCACCCAATCCCTCGTTTTCACGACGCAGGCTGGGAACTAGCAGAAAAGGAACCAAATAACACTTTTTCGAACACACATAAAACACATTTCATCAAAGTTCTGCACTCTAAAAACGCCAAAATAGCACAAACCCGTAAACTTTGGTCACGTTTGAACACGTGCAATTTGTCCCTTTTTCTCCTAGTGGGGGGTGCGCTTCGAAATCGAATCTACAGTGTGTCTCTCGACAAGCAGGCATAGACTAGGACCTGAGTTTCTGGCGACTTTGAGGGTCAGAGCCCTTGCGGCTTGCGCGCTCTTGGAAGGCCCGCTCTGTAGTACGCAATGCAACGTAGTGGATGGTGAGAGGTGCTGTGTTGGACGCTTGGGTTGCTGCGGTGTGGTCATTCGTCTGCAAGTTTGAGAGTGCGCAGGCAGCAGCCAAATTCGATTGGCGAAAACTGGCCTGCAACTGGTCGACGGGATGCCCCATATCTCTTGCAAGACACAATTGTGTGAGGCGACAAGCGTTGGCAAGTTTCATGCGAGGCAATACGCAATATCCTTTACAACATTAATACATTAACATTGTTTGTGTTAAGCAAGCACCGCAGTGCTGCCCCCGGGATCATGACCCGCGGCTGCGCCAACGGCTGGCCTCGCGGGGTTGGGCCCCATCACGATTGGGCGTCCTTACGTGGAGCGATCGCCCTCATGGGGATACGGGGGAAGGAGAGTCGGCCTTTGAGTCCGTAACGAGGGATGTTCCTTACACGGCAGCACCGCATACATACTCTATGACAGATTACTATTCCTGTCTAGTTTGACTCCAGCACGGTGCGTCCAATTCCCATTGTCCTCGCCAGGAACTCCTTTCCCCGAAATCCGCCCATCAAAGTCATGCATTTTCAGCGCAGCAACGTTTGGCGCCCAATGGCGCGGCGTTTTGCTCACGCTAGGACGTGGGGTGGGGGGAGGGGGTGGATGCGTTTGCGGACC